AGCAGGAAGTTGAGATGGAACATAGCTTTCCCTTTCTGGAGAAAGAAGTATAAGTGAACTTGTAGCTGACTTGGTGAGGACAGATGACCTCGGAGCTGTGGTAGATTGTCGTCCTGTGCTGACCAACAGCTGACAGGAAGAAAAGCTGCATCTCAGCTGGCTGCTGGAGAGACTTGCGGCCTCTAGTAAAGTCACAACTTAAAAGCAAAATTGAAGAATATGTAATAGTTGGTCTAAATTGGCTTCAAGTGGTCATTAAAAGGTGGTGGTCAGAACTATCATCCAAAACAGAAATGATAAATGATGGAAATGTTCACATTTTAAAACAACACTTAGGTGGATTGTGGGAACATGAAAATCATCTTACTTTGGTTCCAGGATATACTGGTAAGATCGCTAAGGATGTAGATGCATATTTATTACAGTTGCACTGAGCGATTTTTGTCTACTGAAGAGCATTTGGTTGTTCAAAACACCCCTGGACTATATGATTTCCAAGAGAAGATCTCATCTGAGAACTGTGAACTGTGGAAGAAATCAAAAGCATTTTTTCTTTTAAAGAACCACGTAATGAAACCACTAATGAAACCCTAACAATCTACTTCACATTGAAGTGGAAAAGTATCTGAAAGGAGCAGCTTCAACTTCAATGAGGTCAAAGTGCACTATGAAGATTATTCGCCTTTGCTGCATTTGGGATTTATATAGTTATTGTTTAAGAACTACTGGGTCTTGGGGAACCAGCAGTTGGCGTAATGGCTATATCGCCAGATTCCCATGTAGTCAATCGCAGTTCGACTCCCAGACCTGTGGCTTGAACTCACACTGGGAGCGTGTGCATGCATGTCCAAGATCCCAAGAGGAGAATGGAGGAGAAGGGATTGTGGTGTGGCCATCCCCCTTGGGGGGGGGTGATTTCTCGCTTTCTGTCTCTCTGTCTCTCTCTGTCTTTCTGGAGAATGCATGCGCCCTATAGAAAAAACCTCTCCAAAAAAAAAAAAAAGCAAAAACAAACAACAAAAAAACCCCTACTGGGTCTTAATGCAATCCTGCATAAGAATATAATTTATATTATGTGAAAAAATAAGACAAGACTTATTAATAGGAACCACAAAGACCAATCATCACTAATTTTCCTTAAGGTTGTGTTTTATTAAAAACAAAAACAAAAACAAAGACAAAACCCACTTAAACGTGTGCAGCTATTTTATGTTGAAAAAGACTTTGAACATTTAAGACATCATCATAGCAAATAATCAATATTAGATTTTTTGTCCACACTGAGATACTGTGTGCAAATGCCTTAGCTGTTAACAAGCCAATGTTCCATGATACCCATATCTGTTTAAAAAAGTGAAAACCACCCATGCTCTGGCATGATGAAGCCATGGACTTCACTCTGGGGCTTACATTCATGTAGAAAGTTATCATTGACATGTATTCCACACCATTTTTAAAACTCGAGACTATTTTTAAGTCTCTGGGGGTTCTTGTTGGAAACACGATGTCATTGTGTATGCGTTATCCCATTATGTATGGAGTTGGCTAATTTATATTCACTTTTTATTATATATAGATTTCTAATATTTTTCACTTCTGTCATTTGAGTACATTTACTAAATACTTCTCTTTTTTGCCTTAAAACACACACACACACACACACACACACACACACACACACAAGGGAGAATGGCAGCGATAAGGTGTTGTACCTGTTTGTCTCCAGCAAATTCATTTCCATCGCCCCAGAGTTTGTAATGTGAGCTAGATCTATCCACTCTGGATTTCATTTGCTCTAGAAATCTTAGACTAATTTCCAGGAATGAAATTCCCTTATATAAAGGTTATGCTAAAGGGGGGGAATGGAGTCAGATGCAGATTTGGAAACAGACTCAGCAGGCAAGAAGACTCAGTCCCTGATGGAGGGAAGCTCCACTGTATAAGAAACTGCCAGTAAAAAGTAGGAAGGGCTGATGGGGTTAGAAAATGAGCAGTGGAGCCGAAACCAGGAGATGAAAATGGGATGAGTAATAGGGTATTTGCTTAGCCTCAATGTATATCCTTACAAGACACTTATTAATTACAAAGGAAAAGAAAAGTCACTTCACATTGGAGAAGTCTGGCAGGTACCACTTTAACCAAATGACGGAAGTCAACCACACGGGATGCACCCAAGGACACGATGTACCGGGAACCACACAAGACTACTGCAGCGGCATTTCTGCCAGACGTGTAAGACACAAATCTCACCACGAGGAAACTACACAGACCCGAATGGTGGCGTGTCCTACACAGTAATGGGGCTGTGATCTTCAGCAACGGCAAGGCTAAATAAGACAAAGTTGAGATGGAAGATTCTAAGTTTCAAAAACAATGCAATGTGTGATCAGATCTAAGTAAATAAATAAAAAGGACATTATTGAAACCCTTGGCCAAACTTGAATACGGATTGTTGGTTCGATAACAGAATTGTATCAAGGCTGAATTTCCTGTTTTGAACCTTATTTTTAAAAGAATGACCTTGTTCTTAGAAAAGAATACACTTGGGGCCAGCAGATGGTATAGCAATGTCGCTGGACTCCCACGTGGCCGACTGCAGTTTGAGTCCGGGACCCAGTGGCTTTTAACTCATGCTGAGCGTGCACGTGTATGTGCCCAAGATCCTGGAAGAGAATGGTGGGATTGCGGTGTGGCCACCCCCCAGGGGGTGATCTCTTGCTTTCCCTCTCACTGTCTCTGTCTCTCTCTCCAGTGAGCACATACGCTCTAAAGCAATAACCTCTAAAACAAGCCAAACAAAACAATATATAAAGAAAAGAAAATATATACTAAAATACTTTGGGACATGAGGTCTACAACTTTGGCTAATGAATATGTGTAAGTACATTTTATGTATTAAGTAGACATACATGCATAATACATTGTGTGTGTGTGTGTGTGTATTTATATATTAGAGACAGAAAGAAAAAGAGAATGGCTAAGTGAATGAGGCAAAAGACAAAAACACGGAGAATTTGGATAAATTGTCCACTTGCACTATTCTTAAATTTTTTTTCTGTAAATTTAGAGTCAATCAAAAGGTAAACATTATTTTAAAAGGAGAAGAAGCAGTTGGTGAATATTGTAGGCTGATTTATAAGAAGAAATGAGATATCTTTTTCAGATCTTGAATTGTTATTGAATTTTTAAATGAACATGGGGAAGACTGATATATTTATGATAGTTTTGTCAGCAATGACCTGATATATCTATTTACTTTTCCAATGACATCCAATATTTTTTGGAAATAATTTTTTTTTCTTCCTTAAAAAAACAAAACAAAGCAAACAAAACTCCCAGAAAACCCTGCATCTACACAGGAGCGCTTGACTGCGAGTCAGGACCCCTGAGTACAGGAGCTTGGGCAAACCGACCCATTCCTTTTGCCCCAGGTTCTCATCATGTGATCGGGGAGGCCGGAAGCCACCCTCTCAGGCTTGTCGCTCAGACACTGAGAGAGGAGGAGCTCTGACACACCCGAAGCTGGCTCTGTGCCCTGCAAGGGGTTGGTAGGGTTCATTTCCGAGGGCGGTTCTGTTTGCTGAAAGACACTGACCTCGCCCTCCTGTCCCTGGACAATCGCTGAGGGGAGGTGCACTGACAGGTACCTGGGGCAGAGTCAGACCTGAGTGACATTCCCAGTGACTCGGCCTAAGTGAAGTTCCTTATGCACCCAGAAGTGGAGTAGGGAGGGAGGCTTTCTCCAGATTAATTATCTGAAGCCGCCTGCCTGTACCTAAATACCTAGATACCTAAAATAGGTGTTTGAGGCAAACCTAATGATTTAAAGGATTGCAGGGGCACTGAACTGAATAACCTTGAATAATCAGAGGTTTTTGTTTGTTTGTTTGTTTTGAGAGGTTTTTCCTATAGGTTACAGGTGCTCGCGAGAAAGACAGAGATAAACAGAGAGGCAAAAAGCCAGAAATCACCCCCCAGGGGGAGATGGCCATGCCACAAAATCCTTTCTCCTTTCGGGATCTTGAGCACGCACATACATGTGCCTGGCATGAGTTTAAGCCACCGGTCCGGGACTTGAACTACAGTTGACTACACAGGAGTCCAGTGATGTAGCCATTACACCAACTGCTGGTCCCGAATAATTAGTTTTTAATTGAACTAAATTAGAAAATTCAATTCTCAGATATGCATTGTCAAAATTTATTATCTTCTGAGATGCCAGTGGCACTGGAAGTTTTAAAGAGACCCTTTTTTAAAAAAGAATTATTTATTTAATATTATTTGTTACTATATTTTAAATAATTATTTTAGTTAGTTTTATTTATTTATTTACTTATTTAAATTTGACCAGAGAAGGACAAAGTGAGAGCGAGAGAAAGAGAGAGACAGAGAGTGAGAAAGCAAGCCACCAGGTCCAGGCCTCAAACCACAGTCAGCCATGTGGGAATCTAGTGCCCTTAACCACCACAGCACCTGCTGACCCCATTTATTTATTTTTTTAACTTGACCAGAGAGAGGGAGGGAGAGAGAGAGACAGAGAGAAAGGGGAAGCAAGAAAGCAAGCCACCAGGTCTGGAACTTGAACTGCTTGACCATGTGGGAATCCCATGCCTTTAATTACCACGCCACCTGCCGGCCCTGAAACCCTGTGTTTGGAGTGATTTTATGAAGTCCTCCATGACTTGAGAGTTAAAAGGGACTTTTGCAATAATCTCTCCGACCCCCAGTCAGTGCACAAGCCTCTACAGCTCCTTTTTTTTTATTTTTGGAGAGGTTTTCGCTATAGGGTGCGTGCACTCGCCAGACAGACAGAGAGAGACAGAGAGATAGAAAGTGAGAAATCACCCCCCAGGGGGGATGGCCATGCCGCAATCCCTTCTCCTCCATTCTCCACTTGGGATCTTGGGCACGCATGCACACAAGCCCAGTGTGAGTTTAAGCCACCAGGTCCGGGACTTGAACCATGGTCGACTACGTGGGAGTCCAGCGACACAGACATGATGCTAACTGCTGGTCCCAAGCCTCTACAATTCTTGACAAGGAAGATCTGGTCCGTCTCAATGTAAACGACCACAGCAGGTGTGGAGGGACTCTCGGTCTGCACTGAGATAACTTCTCCCATTTGGGACATCTCTTTAGGAACTCGTGTTTAGAGTAACAGAGGCCCTGGGGGGCATGAAAAACTAACAACCAAGTCCTTGGGCTGCAGAGCTTCAGCCAAAACACAGAGAGAGGGCCTGCTGGCTTGTGTTCAGCTTCCAGGAAGAGGATATAGAGAGCGTCAGAAGAAAGCTCAAAGATGGAGGGAGAGAGAAGAGAGAAGAAACGAAAGGGACAGAACGATGGGAGAGGAGAAGGTTTGCAGAAAGAGTGAGACAGATAAGGTGGGGGGGGGTGGAGAGGAAGGAAGAGCAGGGGGGATGAGGAACGGGGAGCTCTCCCTGAGGACACCCCTTTGGCTCAAGGATGAGAAGGGCATGCCAGGAGGACAGGCCCCAGGTCTTCCCCTTCAGGTGCCTTACCCCGTTCTTATCGAAGGCTCGGAACATGCCCTCTACATATTGGCTGGCCTCTTCGTTGTCCGTGACCTTGAAGAAGCGCTTAAACTCGTGCATGAAGAGTGTGCCACTGGGGCACTCCATCACGAACTTCTTGTACCACTCCTGGAGCTCCGCCACGCCCATCTCACCCGCTGCCTCTCCCTCCTCTCCGTCCAGGCTGAACTGCTGCCCCATCTTGGCTCAAGGAGCGTCAGGAGCGAGGGTCTATGTCTTCGCCCAGGTCTCTGCTGATGGATCTCTTAGGCTAGGGCCTTTTTCCTCCCTTTCCTTTGCTCGACCAGCTCCTCATCATCTCCCGAGCAACTGAACATGATTCAGCAGCACAGGGGGCAGGCAGTGAGGGAGCGGGTCCAGCCAGCTAAGCTGCCCTAAGACCATGAGAAGATCCTCCGTGACCTCTAAGTTTCCCCAGCTAAGCTCCTCCCGTCTCACCCTCCTCCTTAGCTGTGCCAACCACGCAATCAAGCTGGCCTCAGACACTCCTGAAGAAGAGAAGAAACTAAGAGGGAGGCAGAGGAGACAGAGTGGGGAGACAGACATACTCCCTTGTCTCTTCAGTTGGGCACCATGCTGGTCAGGGAGGCCATCTTGGAGACAGAGAGAACTGAAATCCAGAGAGGAAATGAGAACAACTCCTGGCCCATAAAATAGAACCCGCTAGTGATCTCGGGGCTCACCCACGGGATCTAGTGAGAAGCAGCAGTGTGTGTGGTGGGAAGGGCTCTGGGTGAGCAACTCAGTCCCCAGCACAGTATCTGAAGCTGTCTGCAGAGTCTTGGAAGTTTTCCATGTCCTAATTTAAGGTAAAAAGGTCTCTCTCCAACCTTTCACCCAAGACCTAGAAGTAGAGTTCGTCTCATATTCTCTCCAAAGCACTCACAGCCAAGAGGGATCTGGGGAGGATGCCCTACGATATCGATGAAGGCTTTTTCTTTTCCTTTGTTTTTACGAGTTGGCCACAGAAGGAAACCAGTAATTTGGTAGTTTGGTTTTGGCTCTGTAGTCTTGAGTACGGATGCCCGGTAGGAAGCTGGCTGCGTGCGTCTGGAGCACTGGGGAGAGGGCCAGGGTAAAGGCACACATCGGGAAGCTGTCAGCCTGTAAACGGTATGAACGTCACGGGACGGATGGGATCATCTAGGAAGAGAGCATAGGTCAGGAGAAGCGTCCTGGGGACAAGGCTGGTTTTAATTAATAATAATGATAATAATCATTTCACTTGTGGAAGTAAAAATATTTGTGATATTTAAATACTGTCCAAACGTGTTTTTATTGATACAGTTGAATTTACAACATTGTTGGAAAATACTGTAAAACAGAGGAAGGCTCTTACTTTTCTGTTAGGGATCATGAGCACATGTCCTGCATGTTCAGGAAGGTCCCAGGATGTCGGTCCAGTTGCATCATCCTGTGCCACCACCTGGCCCCAATGCTTTACCAAGCCCTCCAGGTAGCTTCCAACACACACGGACGTGTGAGAGTCACTACCCCACTACCCTAGCCCTTGTCACCAATTTCCCTACTACCGCTAAAAGATTCAAATACCTTCCCTCTCCTTCCAGCTCTTAATTCTAACACCTTCACTTCAATAATTGGCCCGTCTTGGGCCAGGTGGTGACATGGTGGTGAAGGTGCTGGATCCCACATGGCAACTCCACAATTTAAGTCTTGGACCTGGAGGCTTAAAAATCATGCCAGGCTCTGTGCGTGTATGTCAAAAGTTCTGAGAGGAGAATGAAGAAGGGATCGATTGTGGTGTGGCCATTCCCGGGCGGGGGGGGGGGTACTTTCTCACTTTCTCTCTGTATCTGTCTCTGTCCAGTGAGCACATGCACCCTATGGCAAAAATATAAAAATGACAACAAAAAAGTTCACCAGTGTTATCGCGACTTCCAACCTGTTGATTTTTTTTTTAAGAAGTATTCATTTAATTTATTATTGTTTTAATTTGGTAATAGAGTACATGTGCTCCCCAGCAAAAGACAGAGAGGGGGGAGAGATAGAAAGCGAGAGAGCAACCACCAGGTCTGGGACTCAGACCACAGTGAGCCATGTGGGAGTCCAGTGCGTTAACTACCATGGCATCTGCTGGCCCTGATCTAATGTTTTCAAAGATCTGTCACCTTGTCAGATCCTCGCTTTTCTCCTTATTCTCCCTTGAGGGCCCCGAACTCTTGACGTTTCCTTGCCATAACCTTGACTGCGGTGCCTTCTTCCTCTCACTACTCCCTTTGCAGAAGCAGGCCCTATCAGTAGTTAAATAACACTAGCGACGCACTAGCGCCTTGCCTGTACCCTCGCCTGCAGGGTTCGGGCTAGGGAGCTGAACATGTCCGGCTGGCCACGTGCACTTCACATAATGCTGGACGGTCACACGCATCCTCTTCCCTGCGGAGTCACTCCCCTCCCCTGAGACAATCAGCCTGCAATCTCCCACTTCTTCCCACATTTCCACATACTTCCCAGAGAAATGATGGACCAGAAAGATTCATCTTCCCTGAGCCCGGCAGGTGGCATGGTGGTTAAAGGTGCTGGATTCCCATATGGCCAACTACGGTTCGAGTCCCCCAGCTCTTCAGATGGCGGCCTTCATCTCAGCGTTTTCCCTTCTTCAGAAAGCACTTTGTCAGCCTGCCCCCAAGCAGGTTGAACCATTTTGACATTATCCCATTAGGTCGTCAGGAAAGTCACGATGTATTTTTTATGTCTTTCTATGTATTTTTCTAAAATACTGATGACCCAGTATTTTATTTTTGTCACAGTGCTCACTTACCTCTGAAAGGATCTCAGGCCCCCTCCCCTGCCTGTTTATTATCTGTCTTGGAGTCTAAGCTCTTGAAAGGGCTTCACCGTGTGAACGACAGAATTCCACGTTCAGTGCGAGACACTCACATACCCGTTAGAGACTGAGCAAAGAGCGTGGCGCACAGTCAGCGTTCGCTTACTGTGAGATGTTATCTCTTCATTTTACAAGACAACTCCCCTTTGTCTCCCTCGAGAATGCCCAGATTAGCAAATTACCTGTGACCGTGGAAAAGATAATGGGATTTTCTAACTGGAGGAGGCCTTGAACTCATCAGCCCAGTGATTTTCAACCTTCTCTGATCTCCTCACACCTGAAGGGAACACGGGCCCTCCAGCAGCTGCAGCTTGGTTACAACAGCGATCCAAATGGGTCGGTGAGAAGGTGGGGTCACCCTTGTCCATCTCTTAATAGAGATTGATATTCAAGCAACATCGAGAAGCAATTAAAAAATAGTATCTGTGCTCAAGTTAAGCAATTGTACCAATGAACTATAACTTGGTTTAGCCTCTGGCGGAGGAAATCTAAAATTAGATGGGCTTTTCATGTGGGCTGGTTGTCCACGACCTGCCCTATAAATACCGCTGAGCTACTGAGGTATAAATATATCGTTTTAAAGAGGATTAAGAATCCCTAAAAAGAAAACAATAGCTTGAAGTGAGTATCAATACTAAGGATTTGAGGAAGGCAGTGTCAGGAACTGAGCGAGGGATTTGCAGAGAACCCCGGAGAAGGCAGGCCGTCAGCCATGAGCCTGGCTCCAGGGGCAAAGAAATGCTTGAGAGCAACAAACCGATGTCCACTGAGCCCTCGAAGGTCTGGCCCACAGCCCCACTCACGCCCGTGTTTTTGTGATCCAGCGTGAGCTGGCTTGCTGCAGCCCAAACTCTGGTGCTGCCTCTTCGCTCAGGGCCAATGTCAGCGTTGGGACCAATGGGACCACACTGCATTCGGCTTCTCGTCTTTTTTCACGTTTATATCTTCTATTCCTTAGATTATTTTTTCTTTAGTCTCTTTAATTCTACGCTTTAGAGGAAATGAATGCATTGGCTAATGTGAAAGGAGAAACATATCTGGAATGCGGGTTTGAGTATTCTACATTTAATATGTGGACATTTGAGTACCTCATAGCGCCTTTTTTTTTTCCTGGAGAGGTTTTTGCTATAGGGCACATGCGCTGGCCAGACAGACAGAGAGAGACAGAGAGATAGAAAGCGAGAAATCACCCCCTAGGGGGGATGGCCATGCTGCAATCCCCTCTCCTCCATTCTCCTCTTGGGATCTTGGGCACACACGCACACGCGCCTGGCATGAGTTTAAGCCACCAGGTCTGGGACTCGAACTGCAGTTGACTACATGGGAGTCCAGTGACATAGCCATTATGCTAACTGCTGGTCCCCTCATAGCCCTTTTAAACTAGGTTCTAGGGCAGTCCTGTCACTAACCTGAACTCAGAAAATCAACTTCACATTATTTACTTATTGTCTTGGCTTCATCTGTAAACTGAAAGGGTGACTGAGTAAGCATAACTCTGTAAGTCTTGGTTTTCTCTCCTGTAAAATGGGATAATAACAGTAAGTATTTTATTGGGTTATTAGTAAGGTTTAATTAAGATGGTATCTGCAACTGATTGTCTATGTGAAAGGTTTGACATAACACCTGGTGACTATTACATAAAATGTCCTGTGTGACACATGTCAACACGTTACATGGCTTCCCATCTAAATTAAACATTACAGCTACACTCTAAGGTAAGAATTAGTCCCACTTCTTAGATAATCTGAGGTCCTTTCCAGCTGTATCTTTTAAAGAAATTGTTTTTTAATTTGCCATAGGGCACTCATGCTCACCACAGGCAGACAGAAAGAGAGGAAGTGAGAAAGCAAGCCACCAGGTCTGGGCCTTGAACCATTGTCGGCCCTGTGGGAGTCTACTGCCTTAACCACCATGCCATCTACTGGCCCCCAGGTGTTTTTTAAAAAACTTATTATTATTATTATTTAATTTGATCAGAGACAGAGAAAGAGAGAGAGGGAAAGTGAGAAAGTAAGCTGCCAGGCCTGGGGGGGCTGAACCACAGCCAGACTAGTGAGACTCTAGTGCTTTAAGCACCACGCCATCTGCCACTGCCCCCCAGCTGGTAGTACACCACACATTTAAAGTACCATCAACTTGGTACTGTCATCCTATTATCTGCCCAGTACTGTGCACGGGGCTTTATCAGCTAATACTCCAACCTTAACAAGGAGGTATCATTTCCTAGTTTACTGAGCAGCTGAGGCTTTGAGTATTCAGGGTGAGATCTCTTGCCCAAGTTTACAGAAGTGGGTTTGAACTCTCCTCTGACTCCTGTCTGCCTCCAAGTCCATGTCATCCCTTACCTGCTACTCACTAATACTGTAGTGTGACTAATTTAATAATGTAATGTAGGAAAGGAAGAGTTGTTGACAAGTAGAAATGTTAAGAAGCTAGTGGTTTAAAAGAACTGCTTTATATATTCACAGGAATATCAAACGGTCAAAGGAATATGTCATTCTCTCTGAAGTACTGAAACCTGGCACCGAACTGGCTTAATGTCTTACCAGAGTTCCCTAGCTACTCCAGTAATTTCCACAGATCAGAACATGATTTTATTTAATATGAAGACAACCTGCTTCAGATCACAGAAAGAAACAGGGAATTCCCTGCTACCCTCCAGTAAGAAATCATCTCACTTCCCACCTGCCTTCTGGTTCATTCTACCACCAGATGTACTGAGCTCTCACCACCTCCTATTTCCACCATGACAGAAAGTAAGACCTGGGCATTAATGGTCATTTTCAGAATACAGAGCTTTCAGAGGCCTAATTTAAAACCAACCAAAAACCCAAAGAACTCTGTTAGCCTATCAGGATAATAAATTCTTATTTATATCAAGTAAGCTTCAAACATGCCAAATACTTTTGTCAATGAAATACACCTAGTGTTTGTTTTGTATGTAGTTTGCTTATTTATCTTAAAATAAGAGTTTTTAATACAGTTGACCCTGAATAACACAGGTTTAAACTGCAAATCCATTTACATGTGAATTTTTCAATAAATACTGTAAATGTATTTTCTCTTATGATTTACATAAATAACAATGTTTCCCACCTAGCTTACTTTATTGTAAGAATACAGCATACAATTCATATATAAAACACGAGTCAATCAACAGTTCAGGTTATCGGTAAGGCTTCTGGTTAACGGCAGGCTACTAGTGGTTAAGGTCTGGGGGAGTCAGAAGTTGTATGTAAATTTTCAACAGCTCTGAGGGGCAGCACCCTGAGCACACGCTGTTCAAGGGTGAACTATAACACATATACGTGAAGTGCTAAGTACGCTGGCTTCCAGGTTAATAGTCTGAAAACGGCTAGAAGCCAGTGTACACACCTTTCAAAGGGCTCACGCGGAAGTCGAGATAAGCACCTACCTCATCCTATTATAGTAGTGATTTGTACTGTCAATAAATAAAACTGGGAAAGCTTGGCTGTGGGTCTATTTTTAAAGCCTTTCTTTCTTTCTTTTTTTTTTTTGTAGCCAGAGGGCACTGACACTTGCCAGAATGAGCAAGGGGCAGGGAGGGAAGAGGGGGACAGCAACCAGCAACTCCCACTGGGGTGTGGTCGTGCCACAGTCGTTTTGCCTCCATTTTTCCACTGTCGGAATTTGGGGTGCACGTACACACAACGCTAACGTGTTTCTCAAGCCACCAGGGCCGGGATTTGAACCACGGTCAGATCTCACTTCCCATGTACTGCAACACCATGAGGCTGGCCCTAAAGAATTTTTTTAAAAAGATTTATTTTTATTATTATTTTTAAAAATTTGCTACAGGGCACATGTGCTCACCAGAGAGAGACAGAGAGAGAGAGGGAAAGTGACAAAGCCAGCCACCAGGCCTGGCACTCAAACCATAGTTAGCCATGTGGGAATCCAGTGCTTAGCCACTATGCCACCTGCTGGTCCCCAAAATTCTTTTTGAGAGATTTTTGCTATAGGGCACATGTGGTCACTGGAGAGACAGAAAGCAAGAAATCACCCCCGGGGAGACGGTCAGCCACACCACAATCCCTTCTCCATTTTCCTCTTGGGATTTTGGACATTCACACATACATACCTGGTGTGTTTATGCCGCCAGGTTCAGGACTTCAACTGCAGTAGACTGTGTAGGAGTCCAGGGACGTAACCATTACACCACTAGCTGGTCCCCCCCAAATTATTTAAAAATAAAATGTGTTGGGCCAGCCCGTGGGCTTGTGGTAAGGTGGCTAGATCCCACGTGGCTGATCCTGCAGCTGGAGTCCCACACCCAGTGGCTTGAGAAACATGTCAGGTACACTTGCCTGCAAAACCAACATCTCCAAAGGAGGGAGCCATGGAGAAGGGATCAAGGCATGACCACGATTAAGATGCTTACTCCCTTTCCTTTTCTTTGAGTGCCCACGCCCTCTGGCAAAATACAAATTAAAATTAAATTGTGTTACAAATTGCCGCTTTGCTAGACATGGTTACTATCACACCGTTCCTGTTTTGCTGACTAGTCTTTGAGGCCATACCTTGGATGAGTGTGCTGTAGGCATGTGACGATACCACACCTGGGCTGAAGGGGTCCCAGGGCATGGGCTGTGATAGTCTCCATGTTAATGCCAGCAGTAAGTCTGACACACCAGTATCTGATAGGAGTCAGGAAAAGAGAACACGTAACTCAGTGTGGGAGGGACTGGGGAGCCCTAACCATCCCAAAGATGTGAAGGAAACCACAAATCACTCCCACCGCATTCTGCTGTGAAGAGAAGTGGAGCACGCCCTGGGCGCAGTACCACTGCTGCAGCTCCCTGAGAGCTGTGCCTCATCCAGGGCTTTAACTGCTACTTGATTTCATAGAAAAGCAGACATCTCCAGACAAGAAGTGTGATGTCCACCAAAAGAAAGAGGCCTTATCAATGAGAAACTTAAAAAGGAAAAACATTTATCTGTGCCGTGTACAATTTTCAAGTCATTACTTCCATGAAATTTTTGCTATTTACTACAGTGCTGAGTGCAAAACGGATGACATAAAGGCTCGCTGAATGAATGCCTCACAGGATGAGCCAAATGATACGAACATCAGTGTCTTGAGAGCATCGATTAGTCACCTCTGCAGGCAGCCCTGTAAGGGTCGGGGCTGCAAGAAGAGCTCAGTGCATATCACAAAGGTGCTATGTCTGCAGCAAAGTGTTTTGCTTTCAAATGTAATGCATACAATCAGGAAAATCTGATGTTCACCATCCCTGAATTAGCATGTGCCAGCCTGCGCCCGGGTAAAAAAAACTTCAACTGTGCAATGTTAAATTAACCAAAGGTTCATTCTAGGAGCCTTAAAAAAAGTATAAAGGATGAATGAATTGCTATAAACGAAAATCAGTAGAAACCCATCATTGAACAGTGGCAACAAAATAAATAGAAGTCTGACCCATTTGGCTCACAGCAGTCATCGTGGCTTATTCCTGTTAAAAGCAGAATGGAAACAAGAGTATGTATAGAAGACGCAGTGGTTTACACCGCCCCACCCCGTTTCAAATTCAGGCACAAGTGGCCTCCTGGAGGCTTTAGGACTTCTCTTCTTTTTTCTCTGGCACTGTTTTCCAGATTGGCTCCTTGATGTGTTCCGGCAACTGTTCTAATTTTGTCTAGAAAAAGAAACGAAACAAAACTATAATATAACGTGTACTGAAATGAACTCCTTAGCTACACATTTGATTTATTAATTCGTCAAATCCTCTTCCCTTTCCTTTTTTACACCCTGGCCTTTTTATAGGCTTTGAAAAGGAGAGAAGAAAACATGTATTATGAAAAAACTGTAGATTTCAAAATTTTTTGGAGCAAAATTTTTGCTCCCAAATTTTATGAAACTAGAAGCAAGAACAAACATCACACTTATGGGGAAGCATGAGTGGAAAAATGGTGAAAATTGCTGATACTTCATGAAAAGTTATGAGGACAATGCTCCAAAGAAATCAGTAGTTTACAAATGGGTAACTCATTGTAAGGAACAAAATGACGTCTTTATTATCAAAGACGCTGCCCACAGAGGCAGCCCATCCAGAGCAACTTGAGAGGAAAACGCAATCTTGTTTGTGCCCTACTTGAAGAGGACCGACAATTAACAGCAGAAACTAGAGCCAATTCACAGATGTCTCAATGGTCAGCTTACACAATTCTGATGGAAAAATTTAAATTGAGCAAACTCTCTACTTGATGGATACAAAACTATTGTGCCCAGATCAGCTGCGGACAAGAGCAGAGCTTTCAATAGAGTTTTTGTGGTTTTTTTTGGAGAGGTTTTTGCCATAGGGTGCATGCGCTCACCAGTCAGAGAGAGGCAGAGACAGAAAGCGAGAAATCACCCCCCAGGGGGGATGGTCACGCCGCAATCCCTTCTCCTCCATTCTCCTCTCGGGATCTTGGGCACGCACGCACATGCGCCCGGCATGAGTTCTAAGCCACCGGGTCCGGGACTCGAACCATGGTCAACTATGTGGGAGTCCAGCGACATAGTCATTATGCTAACTGCTGGTCCCTCAAGAGAGTTTTTAAGAAAGTGGGACCACGACTCTGAAGCATTCCTTTGAAGAAGTGTTAACAGGTGACACATGGCTTTGCCATTTTGGAATAGGAGATGACACACGGCTTTACCAGTATGATCCTGAGGACTAAGCACAACCAAAGCAATGGCCCCCAAGAGGCGGAAGTGACCTGGGCAAAGCACAAGCTGACTGGTTAATAACAGAGGGCATGGCAACAGTTTTGTGGGCAATTTGCTTGCTGACTTTCTGGAGGGCCACAGAATGATAACGTGATTATTTTGATAGTGTTTAGGGAAAGTTAGCTAAAGCTTTAGCAAGATGAAGTCTAAGAAAGCTTCGGCAGAGTTCTTCACCACAACAATGAACAACAGTTCAGTCCTCTTACTGAACAAGAGTGATTTTATGAGAAATGTAATGGCAAATCATTAGGAATCCACCTTACAATCCTGACTCCTTCTGACTTTATTTTTTAGTGTCAGAGAGTGCATGTGCTCATCAGAGTGAGAATGAGTGAGAGTGAGAGAGAGAGAGAGAGAGAGCACCTCCCAGTGGGGTGTTGTCATGCCACGATCCTTTTACCTCCACTTCTCCATCCCATGAGGATTTTGGGCACCCATTCACAAGTACCTGGCATATTTCTCAAAATACCAGGGCTGGGACTCAAACTGTGGTAGGCCACATGAGTTCCAGCTCCCTGTGCTCTGTGCTTAACTGCTGTATTATATTATGGAGGCCAGCCCTCTTTCTGACTTTTTTTGTTTCCTAATCTTAAAAAAATAAATCTTTAGGGACTGGACATTGATGCAGTGGTAAACCTGACGCTCCACAAGTGTTTGGGAAGACTCCAAGTTGCTGTTTAGAGACTCCCTGAGTACACCAGCATCCGCATGCCAATGAACCAGGACTGGCTGAGGCTGGGGTGGATCAGGGCATGAAGACCCTGTTGGGTATTGCTGTATTTCTGTCTTCCTGCCTCATGAGTAAATTCTCAGGGCCTCGAGTTCTTTATGGACACATTAAACGGCCGGTATCATCACTTACAAGTGTCTTGAATTTCATGTTGAGAAATAGAGTTTACATTTTAAATTTCTGTCTTTTTTTAAATGAATGATTTATTTAGTTTCATTATATTATTATTATTTTAAATTATTTTATTTAACTTTATTTATTCATTTATTTATTTCAATTTGACCAGAGAGGGACAGAGTGAGAGAGCGAGCGAGAGAAAGCAAGCTGCCAAATCCAGGACTCGAACCGCAGCCATGTGAGAGTCCAGCACCCTTAACCACTAAGCCACCTACCGGCCCTTATTTTATTATTATTATTTTTTTTAATTTGACCAGAGAGGGAGAGAAAATGAGAAAGCAAGCCGTCAGGTCTGGGACTCAAACCACAGTCACCATGTGGGAGTCCAGCATCTTAACCACAAACTTTTATTTTTGGTTCCTTTTATTTACTTTTCCATCTGGCCACCAGGGCCAGAACTGGAACTGTAGTCAGCTCTGTGGGGTCTGGCATCTCTAATGAGGCCAGCGGCTGGCTCTCTGTGAACTTTTCCAAGTCCCCTTGTTGAAACCATTCTCATGTATATAATCTGTTTGGTCCTCAGTGACCTCTAGGGATTACACATAATGTGGTTCCCAAGTCCAGATACCTGCCATTAGGGAAGGAGACTTCAGAGGTGCTGGAGAAAGAGCTGGGCCGTGGTGGCAGGATTCTGCTACACAGGGAGGGGAAGCCCCCAACCACTGTGGCAATTCTGCCTCCCAGTTTGCCTCGGGCCCTCGCCACCACTCAGTGGGCCAGGACCAGGTTATAATGTATCGAAGCAACTATACAAATACCTCCCAAAGGGTGCCAGCAGGTGGTGTGGTGGTTAAGGTGCTGGACACTTGCACACGGCCAACCACAGTTCGAGTCCTGGACCTGGTGGCTTGCTTTCTCACTTCCCTTCTCCCTGTGTGTCTTTCTCTGGTCAAGTGAAAATAAATGAATGAATAAATAAAATTAAATGAACAATTCTTTAAAAAAAACAAAAGCAAATATATCCCAAAGGGGGTAGAAATTCAAGTCATACCTTTGTTACTTCCATGGCAACTCCTTCAGGTAAGTTTCGTTGAATGTATTCCAGATAGACATCTGCTGTACTTCCAGTCAGGTGTTCTAACTAAAGTATCAAACGTGAAAATAGTTCATGCTATGCTGTTAATGTTAAAAAAAAAAAATTTGGTTTTGCTTAAACTTATGGAGGCTGTTTTTCCTCTAAGAAATCTTGCACAGAATTCAGACTATTAAAAAAAGAAAAAAGTGTAAACACTCTGATTGAACCGCATGGCCCTGACGCTCTCTTCCTTCCAAATGCACTGCTTCAAAGACAAGGCTCCACAGAACACAGAGGGACAATCAGTATCAAAGCAGTACACTTCTAAGAGCTTCCCCAAACAACTCGAGATAAAAGGAGACAATTATAAGATATAGTTGGAATAAGATTTCCTGTGAGTTCCACAGTGAGATGTTTCCGTCTGACATGGGTGGATAAGATTTGAGTTTTTCTTTTTCATTTAAGAGCGGGGACTATGTCTTAATCACTTTGTACTCTCAATGCCGAGTACAGGGTTTCCCATGTAAAAGATGCACGAGCACCCACTGCGCTAACATTTACCAGTCACTGACTACGTGATGGAAATATTTTTAAGTGTTGTACATAAATACAGCACGTGATCCTCACATGGAGATAGGTGCCATTGCTATTCTCATTTGCTGGATTAAACACCTGAGGTACAGGTCGCACGGTTAGTGAACGTCAGGACTTGGGCTCTGGCACTGGCATTCTGACTCCAGAACCAGGTTTTCCTTAACCACAAGACGATGCTAGCCCTGTTGGATGCTTGAATGAATGGATAACAGGTGAATGGAAGACTTCACGTTACATATCATTAACATGGAAAATTCAGTTAGCATATGAAAAGAAAATCGGAACTGCATAAAACTTAACTAGATCTAATAATTTCTGAATTAGGAGCAAAATTATTCCAATGCTATCATATCATAAAAATATTAGTCAGCACTTCTGAGTTCAAGTAGTCACCGTTACACAGGATGTTTTATTAGAGCTTGTTTTCATAGCTTGCTGATGATATAAAAAAAAAAAAGACATTACTTTCTCTACAACTAATAGGCATGATCGGCTGAAAGATGTAAGCCTAATTAATGTTAAAAGGAAGCTAAGAGATACTAGTATGAAATTTGGGGTATTTCAAGAACGTCTGAAATAAACTCACCTCTAAGCATCTGTAAAGTGTTCTCATTTCATACTGAACTCTGTGTTTCTTGAAAATATGCACTGATTTGAGAAGAGTAAATCGCTCTATTTTCCTTGGTGGTTCGTGTCTGAAAATAATGGGCAAAACAATATATTTTTGTTTTTAGTTTTTTGCTATAGGGCACATGTGCTTACTGGAGAGAAACAGAGAAATGAGAGAGTAAGAAATCACCCTCCATGGGGGATGACCTGCTGCAATCTCTTCTTCCCCATTCTCCTTCCAGGATTTTGGGCACATATGCACACATGCCCAGCATGCTTTTCAAATTGCTGGATCCAAGACTAGAACTGCAGTTGGCCATGTAGGATCCAGCCACCTTAACCACCATGCCACCAACTCCAAATAATATCTGATGTTAACACTTGAGTCACTGATATCAAAGTATGATTCCACAAGTTTGTAGGTTGGGCTCACATTCAATTATAGGCATTAACTATCACTTACAGACCTCCGTTTGTCAAAACTGTCATCTGTGACAGTAACTGCTGTCATAAAGCTAAGGCCAAAATAAACACTGCAGACAGTAATAAGAACCTTCCCCCACAGACCCAAAAACGAGCCTAGACAAGCAAGTGCCACACCACATGCACGCATGAGCACGCACGTGCACACACACAAACCTGCTGCTTTTATACACTTCGAGCTCATTTTTGACCAAATATATGAACTGTAAAGAGTAACACTAGTATGGTGGATGTAGTTGTCATGTTTGCTATATGTGTGCTGTTTTAGGAAAATCTATAGATATACTGATAACCACAGAACTGTAGTCTGTTTTAGGAAACACATGACCTTTTGGTTTTGTTAGAAGGCCAGAATGGCTAAGCCCTGACTGGGCCTTGTTGGGGCAGATAAGACAAAGGAGGCAGTTCTATTTGGCCTTAGAGAGTTTGCCTTGCTCAGGCAAGGGCAGATTCTTAGGGCAGATCTGGAACAATGGCTGTATTAGCCAAAGAGCATTCTTTACAGGGGTCTGAAAGGTTGTTTGCTCACCTACTCTACCTCCCTGCCCTGTGGAGATCCCAGACATGTGGGCTTCTTTGTTCTCTATATACCAATGCGATTTCTGGAGAAAGGACTTCTTTCATTTTTCTTATTCATTCATTCAAGTACTTTACAATTCTAGTGGGCAGGAAGGGATAATCCTGCTTAGGATACAGATGACAAATCTAAATTTTATCCATCAGTGTCTGCTCCATTTTAAGAGCTCAGACTTACCCAGGATCACTACCACTTTCCTGGCTGACCCTATTTCAGCCGCCAACAGTTCAGATTATAAAAGGACATACTTACACTTTTATAGAGATGCCGAGTTCTTTAGCAGCAAGCACGGCAAAATATTCATAACTGTCCAATACGGCCTTATCATGGCCTTTTACTAAAACTGACAGGCGTTTATATAATGTATCTGGTTCATCAGAAATAGTTATCTAAAATTAAAAAAAAAAAGTTTTGGTTATATTTGTAAAGGAAATTTAACATATTATCCTCAACCGAACAACTTCAGAATTTACTAATAAATGGGGAGAAAAAATGCTGAGTAACTTTTATTTTGTTTTTTAAATAAGGTTTTTGCCTCATGGCACATATGGTCACCTGAGAGAGAGGTGGGGGGAAGAGAGAGAGAAAGTGAGAAATCACCCCACCTCCGGGGCAGCGGGGGGCGATGGCTATACTACAATCCCTTCTCCTCCATTCTCCACTCAGGATTTTGGACTTGCATGATTTTTCAAGCCACCGGGTCTGGGACTCAAACTGCAGTCAACTATGTGGGGGTCCAGTGCCTTAACCACCATGCCACTGGTGGTCCCTGCTGAGTAACATCTTCTTTTAAAAATGTAATTAGTTAATATTTTTTAATTTGACCAGAGAGAGACAAGAGAAAGAAAAGGAAAGTCAGAAAGCAAGCTGCCAGGTCCAGGATTTGAACTACGATCTGCCATGTGGGAGTCCAGTGCCTTAATTACCAGACCACTTGCTGGCCTCGCTGAGTAACACCTTAACACTGTTAGCTTAAGTACTGAGATGCTATCACATTCAGATCTTTGCAATGACCCTAAGAATTTGTTAAAATATAAGAGGCCTTCAGAAGCTCGTGGAAAATATGTATTACAACCAAACTATGCCTTGGTTTCTAAACATTTCTGTACTGAAATAAACCTTAATTCCAGTTTTCCACAAACTTTCTCACACACTGCGAATCAAAAGAATTTTAGGGACCAGCAGTTAGCGTAATGGCTATGTCGCTGGACTCCCATGTAGTCGACCATGGTTCGAGTCCCAGACCCGGCAGCTTAACTCACGCCGGGCGCATGTGCGTGCGTGCCCAAGATCCCGAGAGGAGAATGGAGGAGAAGGGATTGTGGCGTGGCCATCCCCCCGGGGGGTGATTTCTCGCTTTCTGTCTCTCTGTCTCTGTCTTTCTGGCGCACACACCCTGTAGCAAAAACCTCTCCAAAAAAAGAAAAGGAAAAAAAGACATTTAAATGCAATTTACAAAATTACTAACGAAACTTTCCAACTAAATTATGTCTGAGCCCCAAATTCACAAGAGAAATGACTTCAGACTTTGTCTGTTAACAAAGGCAACCTGGTCATAGGACCTGGACTTAGAGTTAGACTTGACTACTTGGAACTGACGGGTAGCAGGCAAGTCATATTTCATTGCGTTTTGCTTCTTCACATGTAAACCAGGGTAATAATACCTACACTACAACGCACAGCATTTCTGTACGGAGAGAATGAGAAAACACAGATGAAGGTGCTTATAAATTACACAACACTGTTATAGAATGGCAAGCTAGTTTTATCAGACTTTTACATTTTTTTTTAGGTTTCTGTCATAGGGTGTGTGCACTTGCTGAAAAGAGACAGACAGTGAGAGGGAAAGTGAGAAACCACCCCCCCATACACTTGGCAATATTCCTCCCTTGGGATTTTGGGGTGCGCGCGTGCGCGCACACACACACACACACACACACACACACACACACACACATGCTTAGCATGAGTTTCAAGGTCTCAAATCCAGGTCACCCATGTGGGAATCCAGTGCCTTAACCCTTATGCTACCTGCTGGTCCCTAGATTTTATTCATCTTTATTAGTGCTTTGCCTGCCCTAACATACAGATTACTCGTTTCTAATTAAAATGTTTATGACACTGAGCATACCTGATACTTCTACCTCTTCCACCCTAACACCTAAATACCTTAGAAATAATGGGCTTGACATTTCTGACTTTCTTCCAAGAAGTGAATTACCTCCGTTTCATTCATCCATTAAACCAGTAAATTATGCCACTAATCCAATGATTCAGGGTTAAATTACTTTACCTCTGAAAGCAGATCTGTTTACTAACCAGGAAGCTAGCCACCCATTCTAAATACTCCAAATAGAGCTGTTGGAAGAACAAATATACTGATATCCTATGTCCTAAATTCAGGTTGAGAGAAGTGGAATATAGCTCGAAGATGTGCTCTGATTAATCCCTATGGGGTTTAAAGATATTCTGAGTTTGTAACAAATGTTAAAAATCAGGAGATTTCATATAAAATTTAAATTCCATCTTAGCTTGGAAGATTTAGATGACCTGGCATGACCAGGTCTGATTTCCTACACGGCAAAAGCGGCTGTAAGAGCACCTACCCTGGTCATAAAGGGCACAGTGTGGGACTGGCCTCTCAGCACAGTAAGGGAGCTGGATCCCACATGGCTAACCGTGGTTTGATCTCGGCCCTGGCGGCTTGAAAAACGTGGGGTGCATGCCCAAAGTCTCAACAGGATGAAGAAATGGAGGAGGAGGGATTATGGCCTGACCATGTCCCACCGAGGGCTGCTGCTTCTTTTCCTCTCACTTTCTCTCTCAGGCAAGGGCATGCACCGTCTGGCAATTACTCGTTTATTTATTTATTTATTATAAATAAAAAGAGAAGAAATGACTTCAGGGTTCGTTTATAAATAAATAAACAAGTAAACAAACAAACAAACAAATAAAGGGCCATCTTTCCTCACGGGTCTGGCCTCTGCAGGCATCTGAATTAGAGATCAGAGTTTACATGTACTGTCATGAAAATATACTCAGTGTATTTTTTTTCCCAGTTTGCCAGAGGGCACATGTGCTTGCCAGAAAGAGACAAAGACAGGAGAGAGAGAAAAATCAGCCCCCCCAGAGGGGACGGGCACACCACAATCCCTTCTCCTCCATTCTCCTCTTGGGATTTTGAACACATATGCACACATATCCAGTGTGTTCCTTGAGCTACCGGGTCTGGGGCTCAAACCATACTACGGGCCATGTGGGACCCAGCTGTCTCAACCACACCACCACCGGGTGTACCTCAGTATATTCAGAGTGTATTAACTGAAGGGGGTGGGGGGAAGAAATAATACACTATGTATAACACAGCTCCATTTTGGTGGACATGTGTATAGATACAATGATTATAGGTGGATAAATGTTCAGAAGGAGCCAAACTGTTAAAAGCTGGTTCTTTTTGAAGGATTGAAATGGAAGGATTTGGAATTTGTAAGGATTCTGAAAATGTACAAATAACACCAAAAACTTGGTTGATGAAATCACAGCTTCTATAAGGTGACAAAGCTGCTTCTGGATTCCCACCACTTTTGCTAATGCTTTTTTCTCACTGTGAAAACAAAGCACTTTCCAGGCCCAGATTCAATTCTTAGACTGAAAACAAAGACTTGAAGGCTATAAGAAACATGTTTTTCCACAACAAAAACTCAAGTATCCTGCATCATTAATTATAACAACTCTTCAATTATGCTGAGCTAAAAGCATGAGAGTTCTCCTTACCACAGTTACATGGGATAAATAATTTATTCCTTCAGAACTTACCTTGATATCCTGAAAGATAACACGAGCACCCGAGGACATTAGAACATACATAAATTGCACATTTGCCAGTTTTCCAGAACTAAATGTCTTTATTCATGAAGCATCTGGGAAACAACCCCAAGTGAAACAGGGAAAATTTACTGCTAATGCAGCTTCTCACACCAAGAAAGAGGAAGCACATACCGTCGGTTTATTCAAATCCTTAGGAACATCAACGTGCAGGTTTGAAAACTGAACCCACTTCATATTGGTACTGCTAGAGGTGAAAAAAACAGAAACCTAGGTAAAGCCATACAACAGCTGAGATTCTTGTTCAGTTTAGTAAACTCGATGGTATACTTACAGAAGGAAGCCACCATTTTTGGCTGTGCTGCTCTTAGAACTATTTACAGAGAAATTTCCCAAGCCCTTAAAAAAAGAGGAAAGACACATTTGTTAGAATTAAGGTCTGTTCCCAAACCATTCATCATCTCCAATAAAAATCAAAAGATGCATGATGCTTCAAGTAAAGGGATAGTTGATTTTTTCAGATGAAGATATTGGGGGCACCTAAAATGGCTAAATTAGATTTCATTAAAAAAAAAAAAGACAGTGGTAGGATGAACATGCCCAAAGTCTCAACAGGATGAAGAAATGGAGGAGGAGGGATTATGGCCTGACCATGTCCCACCGAGGGCTGCTGCTTCTTTTCCTCTCACTTTCTCTCTCAGGCAAGGGCATGCACCGTCTGGCAATTACTCGTTTATTTATTTATTTATTATAAATAAAAAGAGAAGAAATGACTTCAGGGTTCGTTTATAAATAAATAAACAAGTAAACAAACAAACAAACAAATAAAGGGCCATCTTTCCTCACGGGTCTGGCCTCTGCAGGCATCTGAATTAGAGATCAGAGTTTACATGTACTGTCATGAAAATATACTCAGTGTATTTTTTTTCCCAGTTTGCCAGAGGGCACATGTGCTTGCCAGAAAGAGACAAAGACAGGAGAGAGAGAAAAATCAGCCCCCCCAGAGGGGACGGGCACACCACAATCCCTTCTCCTCCATTCTCCTCTTGGGATTTTGAACACATATGCACACATATCCAGTGTGTTCCTTGAGCTACCGGGTCTGGGGCTCAAACCATACTACGGGCCATGTGGGACCCAGCTGTCTCAACCACACCACCACCGGGTGTACCTCAGTATATTCAGAGTGTATTAACTGAAGGGGGTGGGGGGAAGAAATAATACACTATGTATAACACAGCTCCATTTTGGTGGACATGTGTATAGATACAATGATTATAGGTGGATAAATGTTCAGAAGGAGCCAAACTGTTAAAAGCTGGTTCTTTTTGAAGGATTGAAATGGAAGGATTTGGAATTTGTAAGGATTCTGAAAATGTACAAATAACACCAAAAACTTGGTTGATGAAATCACAGCTTCTATAAGGTGACAAAGCTGCTTCTGGATTCCCACCACTTTTGCTAATGCTTTTTTCTCACTGTGAAAACAAAGCACTTTCCAGGCCCAGATTCAATTCTTAGACTGAAAACAAAGACTTGAAGGCTATAAGAAACATGTTTTTCCACAACAAAAACTCAAGTATCCTGCATCATTAATTATAACAACTCTTCAATTATGCTGAGCTAAAAGCATGAGAGTTCTCCTTACCACAGTTACATGGGATAAATAATTTATTCCTTCAGAACTTACCTTGATATCCTGAAAGATAACACGAGCACCCGAGGACATTAGAACATACATAAATTGCACATTTGCCAGTTTTCCAGAACTAAATGTCTTTATTCATGAAGCATCTGGGAAACAACCCCAAGTGAAACAGGGAAAATTTACTGACAATGCAGCTGCAGCTTCTCACACCAAGAAAGAGGGAGCACATACCGTCGGTTTATTCAAATCCTTAGGAACATCAACGTGCAGGTTTGAAAACTGAACCCACTTCATATTGGTACTGCTAGAGGTGAAAAAAACAGAAACCTAAGTAAAGCCATACAACAGCTGAGATTCTTGTTCAGTTTAGTAAACTCGATGGTATACTTACAGAAGGAAGCCACCATTTTTGGCTGTGCTGCTCTTAGAACTATTTACAGAGAAATTTCCCAAGCCCTTAAAAAAAGAGGAAAGACACATTTGTTAGAATTAAGGTCTGTTCCCAAACCATTCATCATCTCCAATAAAAATCAAAAGATGCATGATGCTTCAAGTAAAGGGATAGTTGATTTTTTCAGATGAAGATATTGGGGGCACCTAAAATGGCTAAATTAGATTTCATTAAAAAAAAAAAAGACAGTGGTAGGATGAAAAATAAAAAAAGCACTCTATAAAATGTAGAGAATAGGCATCTGTCTTTTAAAGCTCAGACACAAGAATGTTTTTTAAAAAAGCAATTCTCGGGCCGGCAGGTAGCATGGTGGTTAAGGGTGCTGGACTCCCAAATGGCTGACTACGGTTCAAGTCCGAGACCTGGTGGCTTGCTTTCTCGCTTTCTCTCTCTCTCTCTCTTTCACTCTGTACCTCTCTGGTCAAATTAATATGAAATAAAAGAATAAATAAAGTTAAGTAAAATCATTCTTAAAAAAAAAAAACCAAAAAACAATTCTCACATTACAAAATAGCTTTGGGGGACCAGTAGGTAGCGTGGTGGTAAGGCACTGACTCCTACATGGCTAACTGTGGTTCCAGTCCCAGGCCTGGTGGCTTGCTTTCTCTCTCCATTTCTCTCTGGTGAGCACACATGCTCTATAGCAAATTTAAAAATACTAATAATTATAAGTAAAATTAAATAATCCTTTTTTTCTTTTATTGGAGAGGTTTTTGCTATAGGGCATGTGCACTCACCAGAGAGACAGAGAGGGACAGAGAGACAGAAAGCAATAAATAACCTCCCAGGGTGGATGGCCACACTGCAATCCTTTCTCCTCCATTCTCCTCTTGGGTTCTTGGGCACGCACGCACATGTGCCCAGTATGAGTTTAAGCCACTGGGTCCGGGACTCGAACCACGGTCAACTACATGGGAGTCCAGCGACATAGCCATTATACTAACTGCTGGTCCCAATAATCCTTTTTTTAAAAGAAAAATTTTTGCTCTATGGTGCAGGTGTTTGCCAGAGAGACAGAGACAGAAAGATACAGTGAGAAATCACCCCGGACGGTTGGCCATGCCACAATCCTCTTTCCTCTTTGGATTTTGGACACGTAAGCACATAAGTCTAAGCCGTGGCTGACTACGTTGGAGTTCAGTGATGTAATCATTATGTCTTCTGCTGGTCCCAATGAATAATTCTTCTTTTTAAGAAATTTTTGCTATATGGTATATGTGCTGCCTGAGAGACAAAAAGTGAAAAATCACCCCCTAAGGGGGATGGCCACATCGAATTCCCTTCTCCTCCATTCTCCTCTTGGGACTTTAGGCAAGCACGCACATATGCCCAGTCTAAGTTTCAAGCTGCTAGGTACAGTACTCCAGCCATATGGGAGATGAGCGCCGTAACCACTACTCCACCTGCTGGTCCCAAATAAATAATTCTCTAAAAAACCCAAAAACCAAAAAAAATGTGACCATCAAGAAAAACAGCATAATTTGTGGCTTCATTTTTCTCAGTTTTTACATTTTAATTGTACTTCAATATAATATTTATTTTGTCTGAATATTTCTAAGCAATAAAAACTATTAAATACCTTTATAATCTAACATATTAACAGAATAAGAACTCTATCTACAGTAGCTTTCTTCTGATTCTTTCTTACATTTTTTTTCAAGTATATGTATTTCTTAGCTTGGCTATCTTCTAAATAAACTGAAAAACACACTGGAACTTAAAGTCATCATTAACTGCAGTGGCACAGACTGTAACAGTTCAATGTCTAAATCCTGTATTGTCAGCTCCCCCTGGTGGAACGAAGCTTTCCAGGTTGGGGGAACTTACATGGCCTGTGTTAAGCTGTCTGTCATCTACCTGTTTTTCCTGTAAGTTTTCCTGAGATTTTAAAAATAAAACCTGAGAGAGGAGGAGCACAATGGGTTCCTTAAAAACAAAGATGAAGGGGGCCAGCAGGTAGCATGGTGGTTGGGACGCTGGACTCCCACATGGCTGACGGTGAGTCAATCCTGGACCTGGTGGCTTGCTTTCTCACTTTCTCTCTCTCTCTCTGTTTCTCTGGTAAGGACATATGCTCTAGAGCAAATAAATAAATAAATAAAATAATTATTTTTTTAAAAAAGATGAAAACAGTTTAACACAAATGGAGTTTAGTTAAAACTGATGTTATTTAAGCCCATTCCCAAAGTGCTTCACATATGCAATTAAGCACAATGGAAAGGCAGTAAGAGGTATATATGCCCTCTCCTTTTTTTTTTTTAACAGTTGAGGGTGGCATGGGAAAGGAGGGTTGACCAGATTGTTTTAGTGCTGTAGTTCACAATTTTCAACCTCTAATGCCATCTGAATTTTTTAAAGAACAATGGTTCTCAAAGGGTGGTCTCAGAACCTCCGGAGGGTCTCTGAGACACTTTCCCAGGGTCTGGGAAATCAAATCCATTTTCATAACTTTACTAAGACATTATTATTTACAGCTTCCCCACTCTCATTCTCTCGCCAGTGTCCAGTGAAGTTTCTCAGAGGCCACATTATAGCAGAAGAGTGAATAGAGAAACAGAAGACCAGCTGTCTACTGAGCCAGATACTGAAGAGATTTGCAAAAATGTCAAACACCACTCCTCATTAAATTTGTTTTTATTTTGCAAAAATAGTTGTTTTCCATGAGATATTAATTATGTCAACAGGTATTATGCTGTTTTTAAGTCAGTAAGTATGTTTAAGATTCTTAGTCTTATTTTCTAAAAAATTAAGTACAGGTAGCTAAACCCCACACACACAAAAACAAAACAAAACAAAACAAACGCTCTTTGGGATGAGAGTTCTGAGGCCGAATCCTGAGTACTGCTGGTTAAACTTCTGCTTGCACACCGCGCCGCTCCTCCTAAGAACCGAGCAGAAGATCCTTAACCCACACCTGCCACTTCAGGGACCCTCATCTAAATCTCAGAACCCCCGGATGTCAGGGCACCCCGGTTTCGTCCCGTGAGAAGTGTCCTCCTGAGCCAGCTCACCCCCTAGTTTTCGCGAGGCAAGTTTCCTGCCCTCTCTTGAGTTTCTCGATTTATTTTGCAAGCGTGAAAGAAAGGGTTTTGGAACATGTCGTTCAATATTCTTTCCGGCTCTGACATTCTACGATTCCTCTCGTTCCCATCTTCGCCCTGATTCATTCATTTGTGTTCAACTCCGTGAGAGAACGCGACAGAAACACCCCTTTGCTCGTCTCTCTCCGGAAACAACAGCCCGAGATGAGGAATAAAGATGCCTCCATCTCCCAGACTCCTGATGGGAGGAACGGCCGGACGCAGCGAGACTTCACGGCGCCTGTCCCCGTCCCGGTGCCCAGTTTCCCCAACCCGCCCGGTACCTGCCAGAGGCGCCGGCACACAGAAGCCAGCGCGGGCCGCGCCGCCATCTTGCTTCCCAGACACCCAGGATCGCTTCCGGGGTCACGGCGGCACCCTTAGACCATAGAGTTCGGCACCGGGGAAGAGGGGATCACGGTGTTCCGGCGGGGAGCGGGACAT